CTGGAGGACCCTGATATATATCAACATAAGATCATATGATTGTGTTTTAATTTTTACCAAGTAAGCCCTCAAAACTAAACAAGCAAAAATGAAAATTTGTTATCTTCTGTTACTACTTCATGAAAGAACAATTTTCTACTCCCATGATAGGAAAGATATAACCTCAGAGTAAAGGATAGTTCTATTGATTGAATAAATTGTTTTACTAAACAGCTTACCACACTGACTTTACATTTTTTTCATATTCCACGTACAGGTAGAAATGTCTGAGACAGTCTCTAGGAATTGTGCTATAGGTGACCCAACTTTTGATTGTGTGGAAGATCCATCCCACTGTCATTTCTAAAAGAACAGTCTTCTTAAAGTACTCTCCCTGATATGAGAATGCAGGAGAATTATAAGGTGTCAAGGCTTATAGTCCTTTTTCTCTCTGCAAACAGTATACAAAGCACTGTATAGCCATATATGAGCCAAGTTGGTTCTGCTATCTTTTCTCTTTTGTCACAGATGGTCATAGAAATATCTTGCTGTAAAAGCACCTCACAGTTTCTTCTTAAATGAAACCACACTTCCTTTTTGTCCCTTCAGCTTAGCTCTGCTGTTCATGAACGCACTGGGGTGATTTTCTGTTGCTGGTTTCTTAGAATTCATTATCCTTATAGAGTGTTAGAACTGGAATTCCCCTAAAGATCATCAAGTTCAATTTTACTTTTTTCAGATGATAAAAGAGAGTCTACAAGAGGTAAAGCAGTGCCAGGAGTAGAGAGGAGGGTTAGAAGCCAAGTTCTCAAATGTTAGTTTAGCAATCGCCTTGCTCATTACGACTTCCTCTTTTTCATCATCTTTAATTCAGTTGCCTCTTACTCCTAGAAAAGCCCTTCTCCTTTTACATTGCTTTTTCCTTGCTTTGAAGATACATATCTGAAACTCTGTGTTTAGCTGTGCCCTGGCTTTCTCTCTCATTCTATATACTGACAAGCCTCTATAAACGTCTTTTCATTTAGGTTAGACACTTCCCCCAGTTCTCTCTGCTGAAGCTTGTTACCCAACTGACCTATAAGGTCCTGGTCTTCAAAACAGTCTTAGTCTACTGTTGCCTATAGAGCCAAATACTGAGATGATGAATTTAAATACTTGATTGAAAATTATTTCTTAAATTAAAGCTACATAATTAATCACCCCACCCCCATTCTATTTGCAGTAGCTTTTCAAATTTCTCATTTTTTCCCCTACTCTTGAAATTTCATCTATTGGGTAAGGTTTTGTAAATTTTCTTTTTGAGCCACAAATTTATCCAAGTTTCAGATTCTATTTTCAGTATTGCTCTCAGTTTAGTTTACTCCAACTGCAAAAATACTCCTTCTCTGTATATATTTACAGCAACAAAATCTGAATGCAAATTTAGAGAAATTCAACCAACAGTGAGTCATGGACTTCAATCTCCACTTCTTCTAAATAGTCCAGTAACCTTTACTATTGTAGCCAAGCTGGCTCTCATTTCTCAGGAAGCAGCTACTGAGCACTTCACCACATCCCTTGGGCCTCTGACCCTGTCATCTTTTCTTTCTCTCATAGAAAATAGAAGCAGCCAGATAGGGACTTTCTCAGCCTACTCTGCAGTGAATTGCCCTCAAGCTCACTCACCTACAGTTTTGCCTTCTCTTAGTGTCAAAGCATGAGGTGATCTGAAACCTCTTCAAAGACAGACCATTCTAGATGTGCTGTCCTGTTCCATCTCTTCAGTACTTTTGCTCCTTTGATTATTTCTACCTTTCGTCTTTAGCCTTTACACTAGATGGGTCTTCTCAGCATTTATTCACATTCATGCACTTCCCAACTTAAAAAAAATAGTAACAACCTTGGACACAGCCTGTCTGACTTCAACTTCACTTTATGGCTAAACTTTTTAGAGATCACCCTCCAAAATTCACTATCTTACCTCTCTACCCACTTTCAATCCATTGTGATCTATCTTTGCTCCCATAGGTCCATTAAAACTGTTCTCATTGAATTCCTGGTTGCTAAATCCAATGGACATTTTTCAATCCTTATTTAATCTCTTGGCAGAATCCTTTTCAGTTGACAAAGTCTTGAAGGCTTTTATATCTCTTTGACCCAAAGCCTACAGTTTAAGTTTTATGGTACATAATAAAAATCTCAATTCGGTGAAAGAATTAAAATGGGAAGTAGGTGGGAGCCAAATGGTGGAAGGGTTTTAATGCTGAGCTGTGAAAATTGATTTTTATTCTCTAAGCCATGGTAATCTAGAAAAGTCTTCAAGAAGGGAGTAGCATTATCATATCTTTTGGGAAGTAAACTCTGGGGCAATGAATGGTTTGGAGCAGTGTTTTTCAACATGCTATATACACCGGCAGTATCAGCATCATCTGGGAATTGGTTAGATGAAAATTCTTGGCTCCCATCTCTGACCTATTAATTCAGAAACTCTGGAGGTGTGGCCCACCAAAATACATTTCAGGAAACAAAGTCAGAGAACCACTGGTTTGGAGGAGAAATAGAGACAGAACAAGTGGGAGTTAGCAAAGGCCTGAAATAGGCTCATGGTGATGTTGTGGAGAGTGGGGTATGTGGAGAGGATATGTATTTTTCAGTCATCGGATGAAGGCCTTAGACATTTTTTTTACTAGCTACTGATGTAGTTTTAGAGGACATGCAATCCTGATGCGGTCTCTGAAGTCTCTCATTCAGTCAACAGATGCTCACTGGGCTGGGAGTCAATATCACCAAGGAGAACACAGGCCCGGCCCAGATCTAAGGTTATGGCTGTCACTGTTAGACCACCTCCTCCTGGGTACTGGTAGCTACAAGCTGTGAGCATTTTTGACAGTTGGTGGCAGACAGTGGGAAGTTCTCCAAAATCATCCCACCTGTGAACAATGAAATTAACAGGAAAATTTGACACATGCATTGCCAAAGTGTTTCTTTTCAGAACTTTCCCATCAGTTTTAGCTGGCCAAACGGGCAGTCCACGTAGTCCTGAGGGATGGTTTAGATGTATGGTGGCTCTCAGCAGTTCACTTTCAGAAACCAATTTGGTAAGATCTAAAAGCAGGAGAGTATTAGACACAGACATGGACCCAGTGGATGATATTAGGTGTCACAGAGTTCTTGGTTGCAAGCTAGAGAAAACAACTAGTTGACTTAGGCTAAAAAGGAATTTATTCAATAAGCAGAGATTGCCCAGAAGGCTTGAAAACCAGGCAGGAACGAAGTTGATGTAATCAACTACTAGGTTCATGGCCAAATTGTGGGTCCCAGGTCTGGCTGTGATCCAGGCTCATGGCTAGGGATAGGACCCCGGATTTAGAATGTTATATTAATGTAGTAGGGTGCCTGTGCTTAGCTTATGTAAGCATGATTCAGCTTGTTGTATCTTGCATGTGTGGCAGAATGCCACTATTGTTCTCTGACTTATATAAAGCCCATGTGGTCCCCTTACGTGGAAGTGTGCTCTCTGCAATAAAGCTTGTGCCTGCCGTTTCGTTCTCACATTGACTCCTCGTGTGTTCTTTCAACGGAGAGTCTCACCACCAAAAGCTTCCCTTCTCGATCAGCTCGGGGCTGACACCAACTCACACAGGGCAATGGCTACTGAACACCGGATGCCAGGAGCCTCTACTGGATGTAGGATATCAGGTGTTGCATCTATTGATAGTCAGACACTGCTGCTCTCAACATGGATCCTCTACCTAGCTTGTGTCACCAGTCAAGGTGGGGTACCTCAGATACAAGGGAGGTTGGGGTTGTAAAGCTTTGCTTCTAGAGGTGAAGGTGGTCTGTGCTCTCCTAGCACTGGAATGGGGTTTTGAGGCAGAGCACCACCACCGCCACCACCACCACCACCGGCAGAAGACCCAATGATCTAAGCTTGCAAGTCACGTGGAATTTTCAAGATAAAGTATCTAAGACGTCACCTAGAACAGATTCTAAAAGTAAGACGTTTTAAGAGCTTGTTACAAATAATTCAGAATACCAATGTACAAATTACATAAAGGATATTGTTATACCTGCAGCTCTCCGGCCTATTATGTTTAACACACTCACACCTACTTGCCAGTCTCTAAGATACCTGCAAAGAATTCCAGGTCCTATAATACCATTTACAAATGAGGGAGAGCAATCATTTTACAAATAGTTTGAAAATTCCCAGGCAAAGACAAAAGTGACAGTGCTGCGGCAGGTTTACATTTTACCAGTTGTTTGCTCTAGCTGAGTGAATTCAGGCTCAGAAAAGCAACAACTTTCCCTTAATGACACAAAGTACTTAAAACTAACCTGTACTTAAAAGATGCTCTTTCCAATACTTTTGCCAAACCACTCTTGGTCATCATTGCTTCTTTTGGAAAACAAAGTGGTCAGACTTAGACTATTAAGACTTGTGAAAAGAACTTCAAGGATGATTAAGATTCTCTCAGCACCCCATTAAATGTTTGGGTTCTCAAACATCCCTTGTTTAGTAACCTGTTTTGTACGACTGTTTCCCAGTTCTAAATTTTATATTATTACAAAATTATAAATCACTTTAAAAATCATGGAAAAAATGGTAGTTTAATATTCAGATTATGCTAATTACAAGTGACTTGAATATTTTTATTTCTATTTTTTATATATTTTTAAAAGCCAAATTAAAAAATTCCTAACAGCTTCATTCCTATTAGCCTCAAATTGTAAACAACTCAAATGTCCATCATCAGGTGAGTTAATAAACAAATAATATAATCGTACAGTAGAATACGTCAGCAAAAAGAAGGAACACACTTTTGATCCTTGTGTTAATATGAATTTCAAAGCATCCAGTCAGTGAAAAACGCCAGAGGCAAATGAGCACATACTGCGTAACATTTATGTAAAGTTCTAGAGCAGGCAAATGCAAATTATAGTGACAGAGATCAGAACAGTGGAAGAAGGGAAATGCTGGTGGAGACTGGAAACGAGCACAGAGTGATGGTTATAAGGATTTGTTAAAACTCAAAAGCAAGTAAAATTTGTATATTTATTGTAAAAGTACAATCCAATTAAAAAGTTACATAGATATACAGTAACTCACAAATATCTTATTACCTGCTTCTGGACTCTTGGGACAGAGAGAATATTCACTTAAGTTTCAAAGAAAGATTCTCACAAGAAATTAAGGTAGAACCATTAGATAACAATTCTAAGTATAGACTCCTTAAGCCTGCAAAACAAAACCCTTTATTCAGGTCAACCATTAAGAAAAGTTCTATTAAAAATATCCACTGAAACTAACGGATAACAAAATATTTATTTTATTGTAAAATTAAAAATAGTGGACAAGCATATATAGTTACAGTTCCAAAGCAGAGCAATATAAATATGTAAATTATTGCAGCTTTAAACGTGTCAATAGCCAAGTAATGTCTAAATAAACTTTTTGAAACTAACTTGTTTTTTACCACTGCTCTTACCAGTTGCATTTTCTTATTCCAAACATCTTGGCACAATTTATAAATTTCTAACATCAGAGAGATTAAGTGCAATGACCACAGCATAAACTACTCAGATTTAAAGCAAGGTTAACATACATACAGATTATAAAAGGAGGAATGGCTTTAACAGAAGTTGCCACTGAACACTTTCTAAACGGCCTCTTTTGGAGGTAGTAGAATGGAAATAAACACTCTACACGTTTGAAAGAAATAAATATATATTCACTAAAATTCCCTTTGCGTTGTGAAGGTGAGGGAAGTTCAATTAGCATGTTTGGGGAGAGGATGGAGGGTAATACTCATTCCATGTTTTTTTTTTTTTTCCACATTGGTAAAATTGTGGATTATTCAATATCACTAAAATGCATTAGTAATCTGGACTCTCAAGCTAAAAATAGGAAAAGTATGTATTACAAATTAGATGCTAAAAAAAAAAATCTCACTTGCTATGACCAAATTGCTTAATAATGTTAGGCGACATTATAACAAGGGCAATTATGAAAGGATGAAGTGAATGAAAATACTGAGATGCAACACAGAACCTTGTTATTCCAAACACTGGATTCTAGCCCTCCTCCAAGATACCTGTACTTGTGCCAGAGCCCTATTACCTTATTATTCAGGTAAATAAACTTTCACCCTACCACCATAAAACTTAATTTGGCAAGAGTAACTTGTTGAGTTTTATCTCTTACTGATTTTTACCACAAATTTTCTCAAATAATTATTTCCACCAACCTAAAGTTAAAAATGCAAACTTTGAAATGAAATTATCTTTGCTTTATAGCCACATCTGAACAAAAGATATTTAAAGAATTTTGTAGAGTACTAAACTTTTTAATAAGTACTTAAAAATACTCAAATACCTTACTTTAGCATAAGTAGTAACATCTGTCAGTAAACTAACTGGCATCAATCAGAAAAAAATAACACTATAAGAACTTTACATTGTACCATTTAAAAGTTTTCATGTCATATAACCTAATTTTATGGACACTAACCTGAACCTCTTATCGAAACAAATAATTTATTAAGTTCCTATTAAGTTTAGAGCATATACATTTTATTACTTTTTACAACATTAACAATGCAAGCTTCTTCTAAAACAAAAACTGGCAAACATTAAAATGCACAAATAGATAAAAAATTAATTTTAAAAAACTAGGAAAAATTGACAAGCCTCAAGAGTAAAAACACCAAAGTAAAAAAATATATAAACAAAAAAAGAAAGCACTTTAAACTATTTTCAGTGGTAAAGAATATGGTAAAATGGAAAACCCAAGAAATCTCAAGATGCCAACAAAATAGAATGTATTTTGATTATATTTCTGAAATCACTTTCCAATGTGAACTTATTTCAAAAATAATCCTCAAATGCATATAAAAATGGGCACTTTGTGGTGAAATGAGCATATAATTTGAAAAAGTAAGAACATTTCTTTGCCCTAACATTGTGCATCAGAAACTACATAATGGAACAAAACACTATGAATTTTACTGCCTGCATCATCCATTATTTGTATCTTAAGTGCATGCCTTTAAAAAAATAAATTAGGGTGTTAAATACTAGGATCGAAGAATGATAGAAGACCAGATTTGAACTTTAATTTTTAAAGAGAACAGTCCTGTGTGGTGAAAATCACTTCTGACTTCAAACTGAGTTTTTCAAACTCAATTCAACTATGAATTTGTCTAACTATGAAATCGAATGTGAAAAAATAGTGTATTTCACTCCCTTAATCACATAAGCTCTGAAAATATTACTAATGGCTAATTTGTAGTCAGTTTTGCCATTTTGGAAACCGAAGGTATATGAGATTCTCTTCTAAACTTCTTCAAAAAGTACTAGCTGTACAGAAAAATAGCCTAGTAACTAATATTTGTGGTATTTGATATTATCGTAAAGTAGAACTCAACTGTCCCTTAACCTTATTTTAGTACATACAAGAATTGCATATTCAATCAAGAAAACATTGGAATACAAAATAAGTTTATCAAACATTTGGATAAACTGTTGTGCAAAATACTTAAAATAATTTTTTACTAGAATATTTATCCAAATAAAGTACTAATGTGAGTATCAGCACCTCAGGTTATTTTTTAAGAGCACCTTTCCTCTGAAGAGCTTAAGTAGAAATATCTAAATGGAATAAATCAGAATCCCAGATTAAGACTTTGGTACAGGCACAATCCCAATTGTTCCAAAGTCATTAGTAAAGCTACATATTTGCCAGAAATTCTTTAAGAAATAAGTGAATACTTTCTTTGGGTAACACTGTTGTATTCAAGGCTGCACCATATGGTTCACATTCTGGAAATATGCTACTACTGAGAACAAGTGCAACACACCCCAAGCCCTGATGGCTGTCCCTAACTGATCTAAATAGAAGCACAAATGTGTGCAAGCACACTGGCTGGTAACATTCTTGATGAATTATGCCAAAAGAGTGAAGTCAAATTTGAAAATGTGACCATGACATCTGAGCACTTAAGATACTCACTAGCATCATCCAGAAATGCCTTTATTCAACTTGTAAATTTATAGAGATTTTGATATTGCACACATTCAATTTAAAGCTTATCAAAAGTAAGGCAATGCCTCCCCGACTCCCTGGATTTTAAATTCATGTTGGATGACTCAAAGAATCAAGAGAAATTGAAACCATCTTCCAAAAGCTTCCTCCAAAAAGCAGTTATATCAGATCTCAAAGTAAAAAAAAAACACCAAAAAACCCCAAAATTAATGAGATATCAAGTAATACTCTCGGGCAAATTTAATACACTCTAGCAATACGAAAGTTGTTTTCCACTAGTTTGAGGTGTTCCTTTGCTTAGTCAAATACTGTTTGTGTTCAAGATTAAAATGTGACCCAGGTTGGGTCAGGCTGCCATGTTCATGACAGAAATCATTCACATCTTTACGCATGAAGCCGCCAAGTTCTGGGCTTTTCTGTAGATTCTTCAAGCAAACGACCTTACTTACAAATACATTCTAAGCACCAGTTGAGAACAGAATTTAGAGCCCATTTTAATGTTACAGCTTTTACTATAATACATTACTGAAAACTTATGCAGCTGTTTGAGACAACCTATTAGTTCAGAACTCTTTGGAAACATCATAGACAACTATATGAATATCCTTTTTAAAATGGGCTATTTATGAATTAGAGTTTTGTTTTTCTGTGTCAAGCAGTCTTCTCTTTCCTTTTAGATTCTGAAGTTTAGGAAAATACCTCACAATGCTTTCTTTGGGCACTAATTTCAATGATGTTGATAACAGAATTTGGACAGTTTAAGGATCCTTGAACCTTTATCCGAAGTGGCACACAAAATAATTCTAATTTTTTCAAAGATAGGACAATTATTTCACAGTGCATTCAATTTGAAGATATTACATTTGACTTGGAAGTGAGGCTTGACTTACTGTTCGAATTCTAACAAAGTCATTAGAATGAAATAGAAGAGGCTTTTACTTCTACTAAGACAAGTTAACTTACAAAAGCTAGATTAGCATTTTCTTCCTAAACGAACTTAGAACTGCTTTTATTAGGAAAAATATTTTATTTTCTTGTATATTTGCTTTAAAAAGTTATTAATTCCTCTTTCTTAAGAGTTATGAGAAGTCAAATAATTCAACTAGATTTCTACTCCAAAATACATTTCTCTTTGGAAAACAAGATAATAGTTGTAAAAACAGTGTATTAAGAGAATAAAATGCAGTGATCTGAAATATGGGTAACATATTCACACATGAAAGTGTAAATATAATATACAGAGCCATTCAGATACATTTATACAGAGAATGGAAAGGTACCTAAAATAGCATTTTTATATATAAAATTTTCATATTAAAATATTGCTCATAATAAATAAGGTGATATTATGAATTCCATTTCCCCTTAAAATTTATCTTTAGTTCAGACTAATCTACGGAGTTTATTAACCTATTGTTTTGAAAGGTGAATTACATTAAACTATGTTTAATAAAATCACACTGCAACAGTATATTTAAGTAGTCACATGTGCTAAAAGTTAGGGAGGGCCATTTAGAAATTATTTGGGAAAAGATTCTCAAAGTAAACCAGAATGTTTAACCCTAGAAGACTAGAGTGTAATGATCTGCTTTATTTGAAAAAGATATTAAATACTGCCTTTAAGCTTTGCAAATTTAATGACCATAAAAAAATGGACCCTAACTTCTTCAAAGTTTGCACATCTGGCAGTCCAGTCAACAGCAGGGCATAGGATGTGAATGTAAGTGTAGTTCAGTTGCTTATGGGTAGGTGTGACTTCATTCCTGTCCGCCCCACCTGCAGACATGGTAACTTGGAATAGTTCTTGAGAAGCTGTTCGATGGCAACGTGGCGGACATGGAGCTCTGAGGCCAAAGAATCTTTTTCTTGTACTTGGTGTGTTAACTTTTCAAAAACTTCTGTAAAGATTTAAAAAGTAGTTCAATATTAATACTCAGAAAGCTAATCCTGTGATTTATACTTCTAGCATCCTGACTGAATGCATTGGGTGAAGTCTGTAATGAGTGATTTGACACCAAGGAAAGTTATGTTTTGATCATCCTAGGATGTGTGTATTCTGCATAGCCAACAGGATTATGGCATTCCTCTAGTGAAATTTAAGAGTCATAAGCAATGACTATGCAATTCAGTCAATATCTAATATGACTTATGACAAGTAAGTGCCCACTGGTACCGAGGTCTGGAAACTCCTCTAAGAGGCTTTGGAATCTGACTACTTGGAATATTTAATCCTTGTTCCTAGTCTTATGACTCCCAGGCAAGTAATTTAAACTATGTTTTAATTTCCTCTTATGTATAATCTTGAAAATGAGAGTAGGCACCTCATAGGGTTACTATGAGGATTAAATAAGATCATACTTGCAAAGTGCTTACCACAGAATAAATACCTGATAAATGTAAATTGTTATTACTATTATTGTTATTTTATTTTTCTGAGAGACTGTGTGGTCAAGAAAGACCACTAGCTTTGGAGTTAAAAAGACAGGGGTTAGACTCTTGAATCTGTTACTGACTGAATGCATGAACTCTGTAAATTACTCTGAAGTGCAGTTTCTTACCTGCAAATAGGAATCAATTGTGAAAAAAAAAAGAAAAAGACAATTGAGGAATTTGAACACTATTAACTGTTGGTGTTAGCATCATATTTCATGATGTTAAAGAATTACAAGCTTTTTTTTTCTTTTGGTGTGATTAGGTTATGCTTGCCTTAAAAAAGGTATTTGTTAGAGAAAATCCTGAAGTATTTTTGGACAAAACAATATGTCTGAGATTTGTTTCAAAATAATCCATGCTGGGGGTGGGGTTGGGACAAGGAGAGATGAAGGCAAATTAGCTATGCTTTTGATAACAGCTGAAGCTGCTGAAGATGGGTCAAGGGGTTCAGTATACTATTCCTACTACTGTTGTGTTGGAAATTGTTCATAATTTAAAAACAAAAATCAATAAAACCCAAGGCTAAAACCTGCCTTAAAGAACTATTAAGGGGGTTACCTGACGCAGTGCCTGGCACAATAGCAGGGAGTCAAAAAAATGTTAGTAAGAAGGCAGAGATTAAGTCGTACTCTCCATTTTCACTTAAAGAAGAAATATCTATTTCCCCCCCCAGTTCTTAAAGAAGTTGTTTTCTTATTCTTTTTGCTCTGGAAACTCTAACAGGATCTAATCCCATTTCCAAATTTAAGTTCGGATAAAGTTAATGGTATTCTGTAATAAGAGATTTTCTGTATGAAAATTTTCACATGCAGAAAACACTGACACCGATTCTTTACCTTGTATTTGCTGTCGGAGCTTTGCTTTCAGTTGCTTTACCTCACCAAAAGTCATCGAATTCACTGAAACATGAAAACATATTCATTATTACCACAACCTGGGAAAAGCTGCTTACAACATTAACATATAATCCTATAAAAAATAGTATTTGTACTTATATGCCAATATAACATTCAGCAATATCCTAGGATTCATTAAGTCCTACAATGTGGAGTTTTCCAATTAACCTTGACCCACGTTAAGAAACATTTTACATCACTCCTGGTACACCTCCACCTGAAATAAAGTGTAATTCACTACCTATCCAGTCGATTTTGCTAGACGCTACACAGTCCATCATCTGCGGTTTGGAAAACACTATTGTAAAGTACTCTGGAAACAGTCTGAAAAATCAATTTGTCTATCTAGTTAAATAACCTTAGACGATTCATATGTAGAAACAAGAAGTTGTATAAAAATATCCCCATGGTCCCTTCTAGCTCTAAAATCATTTGAAGTCAATTAAAATTATCTCAGCTTCTGTGAGTTTTTGTAGATGCAAATCGAATGAGTCACTTTACCAACTTTAAAATAACACAATACCTTTGGCCTTCAGTAAAATGTCAGAGTTTTGCTTTCGAAACACCACCCCCAATTAGCGACAATGTGTGTGAGCCGATGGCTGAGGTTGTATTTCTAAACTAAACTAACCCTGAACTTCTCAGTTCCGTTTGTTGATTCCATTTAGTTTAAAAATTTGGAACACGAAACAATTGATAGGACTGTAGAATACCAATGCTTAGCAACACAGAGGAGTATGGAAAGTTTTAAGACATCTCCTTTTTTTTCTAGGGTGAATCTGTCATTTAAATACTCTAATTTTCCAAACCTATAAATCTATAGCAAAATTCTTGACACATGACATACATAAAAATGTAAAATAACTCAACAAAACCCCAAGTTCACCTTTGTCCCATTTCACTTACATTCCTCTCTGCTGTAATGTGGATGCTGGGCCTCGACATTAGCCTCTGGAGTAGAGATTGTCTCTTCTTTTTTCTGGGCCTGGTTGTGACTATGAGGCCACAATACACTCTTGTGGCATAAAGTGGCACCTGAATCTTGTAACACAGCAAGTCCAAAGTCTGTATTTTCCTTCTGCTCCAATATTCTTTGTTTACAGTGTGTGAGGCTCCCCGTACTTCCATCTATCCACTTTGCAGAATATTTTGGTACTTGGGAGTCAAATTGCGGGAGTAACTTTTTATCTGGTTTATGCCTGAAATTAAACAGGTGATGCTGGGGATTTTTAGAACATTCTGAATCTGAATCCACATCCTTATTTTGTGCATACTGTACAATCCAGTTTATCTTCTTACTTAAAATGGTTTTAACTTCTTCATAGTAAGTGCTTTTTGAAAGCTTAGATCGAGGACAATCCTGGTTTGCAATCAAATGGTATTTTTCAAAGCAGTCTCTATGACCCCTTAATGATCCGGTGTGCAAGAGATCAGACTTTGGTACTCCTATAAAAAACAAAACAAGGAATAGGAGACGAGAAAATTTTGTTTTTTTATAAGTTGCATTAAGAATATACAAAGCCTAAGTAAAACACAGAGTCATGGATAATTTGCAAATTAGAGGAAAAATACTAAAGAATATTGGTATTAATAATATAAAATATGGACTAATTTCTGTTTCAACATAACTATATATTCATTATTATTAAATTCTTATGAACAGTGAAAACTTTTGAAGGACTTAACGATTCAATTTTAACCTTAGTCCAAAGTCATGTTATTGCATGCAATATAAAAATACTACTGAACCAGCAATTTACATTTACAGAATGTTTGCCTTTATATCATAATGCTTTCTTCATAATCTTCCTGAAGTATAAACTCGCAAAAGTTTCTATAAGGCTCAATAAGAGAAATGGTTGACAATCCTCCCCACCAAAAAAAAAAACCATAGTAAATCATGTTCTTAAGTTATTAGTTATGTTTTTACTGAGGAAAGATAAACCAGAACCAGAAAAATACACATTAATAAAAGCCTCAAAAAGTCAAAGACTTTTTTTAAGTATGAAAAGAAAGCATCTAAAATGTTTTCAATTTCTGTTTTATGCTTATCAAAACTTTAAGATCATTTTCTTAAGTTCAAGCCATGCTGTTAAAGTCAGGCAGCAGTGCTTCTATACTTAAGGTGAGTAAAGGACATGGGGCTGAAGATTATGCCTGCCAGAACCAACCACGAAATCCGCTGAGCTTTGAAAACAGAGTAAGTGGAGAGCCACTCAGGTGCTCAGTTAAAAAAAAAAATTTCAGCTGCTTCATCAGAAAAACACATTCTGTATTTCATCCTTTGTTTTAAAAATTGAAGTCGGAACAATTTTACTAATTGAGCTCCAAACTCTGGCTAAGAGTAAGATAATGAAGTATTTGTACTTTAATGGTACTAAATCAGGTATAAAAGTGCTTGCGAATATTAATTTTGCTAATATTAATACATCGCTAAACGATGTAACATCAGGCAATGGTGGGACCTGCTGCGATTGCCAAAACTAGTGCTAAATGGGCTGTCAGTTCCCTCACAAGCAAGCTATATGAGGACACATGAACATTGACATTATAAGCATATGTGACCAACTGGTCTCAAGAGGTAAACTCAAGTATCTCAGCCTGTTTCTTCCACTGAGCACAAAAACTGGACTTAACAGAATTTCGTATACATTTTATTTGATACATGTACTGCAATTGTGTGTGTATGTATATTTTTTAAACCAGTTATTTTCTAATTAGGTCAAATTTCCAGCAAAGTTTAAAGTACTTAAGTGTAAAACCTCAAAGTTTTACTTGATAACCCAGTGTACATATTCAAAACTAAGTAAATTAATATAAAACGTTCATAAACCTTGATTAGAAAAAATTAAGTTTTTGTTATTATGTATGTTTTAGGTCATAAATAAGACAAAAAAGATAGTGAAATGTAATAAACCAAATAAATAGCTCCATTCTGCTGTTTGAGTCTAATACTTCCTGCTCTGGGTACACAGCAGGTAGGCAGAGAGAACTTGAAACCTGCCTACTTTACTAGCTTTAGAAAATGTATTGAAGAGCTTCTTGACTCGAAAATCTTTTAGGTCTTGTTGCCAACAGATGGCTGGCCAATCCCCTGAAACATTGGTCTCATTCTCATCCGATTGCCCCGGCTCTAATTCATGTAGCAATAATTTAGTTGAATCTAAACAGTAAATTAGAAGAGTCTTCTTGAAGTCTGTACAAAATTTCTTTATATAAAAAGGGTTCTAAGCTAGGCTACGCAAAGTAATTAATTCTGTTAATTTAAAAAAATTTAGAAACTTCAGAAATTGTGTTAAAAATGATAAAAAAATTATATGAAACAACCAATTTCCTGATGTACCCTACAGCTTCAACAATAGAATAGATGTCTGTTTAAAAATGTGGGCTTTTAAAGTTAAAGCTTTTATAATTCAATGTTTCTTTTTAGTAATTCATTCTAATGTAACCTTTATTTCTCTAGAAATAATTTATCTGTTAACTTTTACTTAAATCCCCAAATGAATGCTAGAAACCCACATAAGCACATGATTATATGCACATAATCGGTTGAGATGAACAGCAAATCACAAAATCATAATATTCAATTTACTTTGAAATACATAAATGCAATAAAAATTTTTAGATTCCTTTAGACATTCAGGAGAAAAATCCTCTAAAAAAGAAATGAAAAAGTGTCATGGGCAAGAAGAGTTCTGAATACAGTGTACATTTCTACTTAGATGTCCCACAGGCTCCTCAAACTTATCCTGCCTAAATAAACTCCTCTTCCTTCATTATCATCACCCAAACCCCAAACCAAATCCTCTTCCTGAGTCTGGGGCCACCAATCGCTTAAGGAAGAAACCTGGAGTCATATCTGACAGCACCCACTACTCCTCTTTCCGAGATGTTTTGCTGTCTATAGATTGTTCCCCTCATAAATTCCAGCACTACGACATCTCAAATTCTGCCTCATTTCATTACTATCGGCTGCCACACTATCTAAATGATCATCATTTCCTATCTAGTTCTCATTTCCTCCAAGAAACCTTTCCTAATCGATACATCTGAATTAGGTTTTCCAATTGCCTCTTCACAGGCCTTTAGCTCCTGTTAGAAAGTAAAGTTCTGTGGGAAAGGGGCCCATATCTGTTTTACATGCATCCTCGTAGTGTCTGACACAGTGAGTACTCAAGAAAAAGTGGGTAAATGAATAAAGGAAAAATAAAATATTAAAAAACTAACCCAAAACTTATTGCCAGTTACCATGCAAGGGCTACCGCAATGAAATGTTTGTGCCCATCCTAGCAAGGGAATCATGGTGTGCAGTTTTTCCAGGCTGCTCAGAGGTTAATTAAAGGCATCCACTGAAGGTACTCCTATATTTAGTTTAATGGGCCACTGATCTTAAGAACTGATGAGTGGCAATGGTACAG